TGAAAAACTCCCTATGAGCAAGAGGAAGAAACCTTGAGAGGAACCAAGACTCAAAAGGGGAACCCATCGTCCTCTGGTCAACACCGGACAGCAAACAGCTTTAGAATAAAATATTAGAATACAAAACGCGGAAAAACAGGTGGAGCAATGGTTAATTAGATAGTTTGAGATTATGCAGCAGCAGCAGCAGCAACAGGATGGTCAGTTCATGAAGGTGAGGTTTACACAGCATTTTACAGCATGAAGCTCAATGGTGGTCAAACCAGTCCAGAAGGCTGGCAAGCAGTGGCACCCGATATAGTGCAGTAGTTACTCTTGAGCGTCCAAACAGGCATCTGAATATAAGTGCTGCATTATTTAAGGTGGAACGGGAAATGAAAAAGAAGCTAATTTTAGCTTCTTCTAATCTCTCTCCACTGTACGAGTTACAATCAGCAAACTGGGGCTGTAAACCTTCAGGTGGGGGGTTTAACCCCAAAATTACTACAGATACACATAATATTTATAGTTTGTCTGAGTGTTATTCTCTTGTTATGCACGAGCCCAAAACTCAACGGGAATTCTCCTGACCCTCCCGATTACCCACTCCAGCATTGCACCAATACAATTCGTGGCAAGAACAAACTGATTGATATGTTTGTTGTTAATATATTTTGTTTGTATGGAGATGATGTACACCTTAAAAAGCAGTTCATTCACTGCAGCACTGTTTACAGTGTGGATCACTCTCCCTGGTGGTGCTGTTGAGGTCAACCATGTTCTCCTCAGTGCGGTTCTGATGATCAGAGTTATTAGAGCTGGCGGCAGTTTTGACGGCCTGCTGTTCACATGTCTTCACCAATATTCTTTAAAGTGTTTTGCACCAGTATTTTCCAATTACTGAGTTTGCTAGAAATAAAGGCGAGACTGTAATGTATAGGACAGGCTGCCTCTCTGACTCTGTTTCCACTCTACATGGAGGAAAATACTTAAGTAATTGTACTGTGTTACTACAACTAAGTCCAGTTCCTGTGCAGTTAAATGTATTACTTTATTAAAAAATTCAACCAAATTCATATTAATGTAAAATAAAACTGCCGAAAACTACACAAAATAGTCTTTCTGCAAGGACCAGTACCACCTATACAAGAGGAATTACACAAATCTTTCCAAATTCCCTCAGAAATCAGTGTGTGTGATGTAAACAGAGTGATTCAGAGTGGTTTGGTGTGAAATGGTTCAGATGTCTTTACAGTGGTGGTGATAGGAACCAGGGGTCGCCATGACTACAACACAAATATAGACATTTCATTTACTATACAAAACCACCAGTGAACCTACACGAGTCTACTGAGTTTATATGGAATGTTGATGATGGAATATAGTGGAAAATCTGAAATAATACATTTTCTTTGGGGACTATTTTGCCTCACAGCGCCCTGCATATTATGTATCCCTCCACTATGAATGGATTTATGAATGGATTAATCTTCTCAAATCTATCATAAAACAGTGTCTCAGTCATCAGGCAGTGAATTCATAACCATTTTATGTAGTAACTTTCTGTGAGGGAGCTTTTAGAGGTGGACGTCTGGTTCCTATCACCACCACTGTGAACAATTTTGGCTCGGTAAGTTTCTCTAGAACAGAGCGTTTCACACCAAACCGCTCTGAACGACTCTGTTTACATCTTAACTGTGTAATTATACAGAGATTTTTAAAAATTGGTGTAGTTCAGCCTAAATCACCCCATCACACACCAATTAAATACAATATTTTAAAATATTATCATTAACAGTTAGTTTTTGCTTTTAGATACTTGAATATGTATAAACATGCACTCAAAAAGCTGGTTCTTCAAGGGTTCTTAAGTAAAGAAAATGGTTCGATATAGTACAGTGAACACTCAAAGAACCCTTTGCATGATTAAAGCATTCTCTGCATGGTGAAAGGGTTCTGCAGATTGATGGAGAGAGTGCTGTAGATAAGAGGGGTTTTTTAAAAATAGTTCTGTATAGCACCAAAAAAGGTTGTTCTATTGTTACAAGCTTGACATCGTAGCAGAACCTTTTTTGAAGGTATATAGATCCATATACAACACATTCTCCATCAATCTGATGAACAGTTTCACCATGCAAAGAACCATTTAAGCATGCAAAGGGTTCTTTGAGTGTTAATGGTTCTATATGGACCTATAGCACCAAGGAACCCTTAAAGAACTATTGTTTTTAAGAGTGTAGATACTTTTTGGCTTCCACTTAAGTACAGTTTGTCTGGACTCCTTTTTCTGTAATTGTTATTCAGTCTATGTGGAGACAGTAAAAACTGCGTTTTGGTTTATTAGCCCAGCGTGTGACGGTGATGATAATGTGATCACCTACAGCTGAAAGCCTGTTTCTTCTGCAGAACATGCTGAATAAGAGACTCCAGTCAGCAGATGGTCCTCATTTGGAGGTTTGAGGAGCCATCTACTAAATTACCCATGAATATGAAAAATGAGTGTGTCAGAACGGTTCTTTTAGGTTCATAGTCAATATGTAAGAGATGTGCGTTAGTTGATAACCTGCAGGAATAACTACTGAACCAGAATGCACTTATAAATGAAGCTCTTTAATGGTTCTTGTCTTCAAAATACAGTTACAGGAAGAATATTTAATTGTTATAGATGCTGAACATTATGTAGAGGTTCATTAAAGGGGAATTCTTATTAATCTGGCCTGTATGTTGGATTTGATGCTATAATCTGTACAAACACGCCATGTCCTTCTTCTTTGGTGGGTCTGTTTTCAGTCTTCAGTACCTGCAGTTAGGAAATCCTTCAAAAAGTATGTTTAAGGTTTTGACTTAAGACCTTTTATTTAGTTTCTTGTACTTAAAAAGTTATGAAAAGGTACATAAATGCATTTTCTCCTGGAAAAGCTAACCTTTAAATGTCACGTATCCTCTATCTGCAGTGCCCCCTAGTGGCTCTTGTGAATAGAAATCATCTAGAAAATAAGTAAGGATACATGTTACTCAACAGACTGGTGTGAGGTACATCCTGTGGATAAACATATAATTCTGTTCGTTGTTTTATTACGAGACAATGAAGTAAAGACATTCTGACTCATAGTGTCCCACTGGTCATCACTAAGAACACGTCCCAAATCTTTTTGCCATGCATGCTCAAGTGGGCTCACAGAGGAGCTGTGATTGTCTAACAGAGCACCATAAATCAAAGAGATTTACCCTTTCAGCGATGTGGAGTTTTCCAAAATCTCCTCCATACTTGACAACCCCAGGGTAGCGTTGCACTGATACTGTATCAGTATCGGCACCGATACTGGTACTTAAACACAATATTTACAGCAGTAATGGGGATACCAATACCTATGATCAATACCACAATGCAACTTCTGATGCATGCATGTGCGCCAGTAAACAGAACTTAACCGCACATTGGTGCTGTGGGACGACAAGCAGCAGTAAAAATGCTAATGGCAGAATCTGTAACGGCAGATTTTGGTGTAAAGATCACGCTAACAGAGCTGCTTACCTGAAACGGCTGAGCTGCTTCTTTCAGTAATCACTCATCTTCTGCTATGTGGTCACTTTCAGAGTTAATGTTATTGAGAGAGCTGAAGGAACCGCCGGAGGTAATGCTAGCCTTAGCCTGGATTTAGCCTTTAACACAGCAGCCCACTAGCTGGGCCTGTGCATCCACTGCATCCATCCCTACCTGTGGTCAGCTGTATCATTCAGAGGCGGGGTCTCGTGACTTGTCGCTTTAACCAAGCCACAAAAAACACTGAAAGTCGCTGATACTGACAGTGTGAACGATGATATTTACTGAACTGACGCTCAGAGATGCAGTGCAAGTGAACAAGGCACACGTATGAGACAAATGACTAGAGAAATATGGATGTAAAGCAATATTCAGCTCTGTTTTTGAGCCAGAGAAGCTGCACAGGTTTATCTGTACACTTTTCAGCTCTGTTTTTAACTGTTTTGCACAATAAAGGAATTTTACAATTACTTTAGGTGTTAAACATGGTTCTTATTACTAATTATATAATAGTGAATACTAAATATATCCAGCAAACAAACAAAAATCAGTTTTCTTAAGAATCTAATAAATATAATCCAACAAGTAATTGTCATCTAGCTAAGTGTGTTTTATTTGTGACGCAGAACAGATTTTACCAAATATAAAATATTTAAAAAATGTGATTGTATAAATATCAGGACATATAGGTGAGTTATGTTAGATAGTGTTAGTATCAGTATCAGTACTCGATATCAGTCGATGCTTAAGGATCAGGTATCGGTATCAGAATCGGAAGGGAAAAAGTGGTATCGGTGCATCTCTACCCCAGGTTTAGTTCCCCTGTCCTTTCCAGAGTAGTAATTGAATGACAAATTTGTAGGTATTTATAAACGTCCTGTTTTGGATTTTCAAACTCTGATCTCAAATCTAAAAAAGACTTAAATTAACTACATAAACCCCTAAAATCTGAGGCTTCTTACATTCGTAGGCTTATTATTCAGTAACTACAGAGACTTTGGTGCAAACATCTTAGGTTATAGAAGTGTGTAATAAAACTTTGGGCGTGTCGGTGGATCCTGGCTATTTAAGGGGTTTAACTGGGTTTGAGACTTACATATATTCCACTTTGTGAACAGGGATTTACTAATTGAGGGCGGCAAGTCTGGATTGGAGGATAGAGCAGCTAGCCGAGAACAAAGGAACCACGAACCTTCTTTACGTCTCGCCAAGCCTGAAGAATTTTGTAAGAACCATCTTTTTTAAGAGGTGTAGATGAATTGAAGGAGCACCAAAAGAGGTGGGAATTACATTTACGTTTACTGTGAAGAGGGTAAAGCTGCGCAGTTTGACCTCGAGGACCATCCTGTACCTTTAAGGGTACCTTAGCGTTGTCTCTACCTCGTGTAGGTGTTAAATGTAGCGGTTCGGTTCTCCTCATTCTCCACTTTTATAACAGCAACATTACTCACACTATCACCATCCTGTCTGTCTCCAGATGCTTCCAAGAAGGACGTCCCTGAGGACTTCGACATCGACATGGATGCCCCGGAGACAGAGAAGGCAGCTGTCGCCATCCAGTCACAGTTCAGGAAGTTCCAGAAGAAGAAGAATGAAGACAAGTCCTAGTGGCTGCGGGGGGAACCCGTCCGGGAAGGAGTGGTGTGATGCTGCATGTGATAGAATCTCGTTCTGTACGGACTCGAGGAGGAAGTGAGGGCCGGAACCTAGAGATATAACCTCTCAGTCATTGACACATCTGTGAAACTCCATCAACTACTACTGTAACACCATCCACTGTAGAAACATCTTGCCTACAAATAAAGGTGCTGAGGAGGGAGGAACCACTGAAGAACCTTTCCAGTGGATGGTGCTTTGAGGAATTCAATCGAAAGCGCTCGGCTGAAAGGTTCTGAAAGTCTAGGAGAACCCTTTCCGGCACCTTTATTTTTAAGTGTTTATTTTTTTTCCTTGTAGCCAAGAGTTCCTGTGTTCCTGCTGACTTTTACCTCAGTGTTGTTTAGTAATGTAGAATGAATTAAAATGAATGATCTAAAAGCATCTCTAAAAAGGCCACCACATTTCATGTCACTGTACATTTTCAGAGTGGAATTTTTGAAGGTGTGATTATAGGCTGAGCACAAAAACCAGACGGTCTCATTCTGTGACAGTAGTGGTTTCCATCCATGTCATTTTATATGTATTTTGGCTTATTGCATTAAAAAGGATGATAGACATGACAAACACTGAACAAATACGTCAACAAAGTTTGTACTTTAACTTGAGCTGGAAACTTTTTAGGCTGATAACTAATGCAATAAATTACAGTCTGCTGACCAAAGCTCTATTGGAGCTGGATCAGTGGAGATCAATGATTTTACTCCAGTATGAATCTGCAGTGTCTGTAGTTTTAAAAGTCTGCTAAGTCATGATTCTGGAGTGAATTACGCCCTATAACTGTCTGAATTCAGAGCCCTCAGTAATAGCAGTCACAGTGAAGGGTAACACTTTTTTTATAGTGGTCCTTTGTAGATGATTATTAAACTCAACAGATTATCAGTAACACATCAACAACATATCAGTGAAGTATCAGTAGTGAAGCGTCTGAATACATTGAACTAAATCTCTTGTAGATGTTCTGTTGATACATTACTTACGTTAAGTAGTAGGATTAGTGGCACTAATCCTAACCCTAACCTGAACCTCAACCCAAAATCTAATCCTAACCCTAACCTTGACCTCAACCCAAAACCTAATCCTAACTCTGACATTAACCTCAACACAAAACCTAATCTTAACCCTCACCCTGGCCCTAATCCTAACCCTAACCTTGACCTCAACTCAAAACCTAATCCTAACCCTGAGATTAACCTCAACCTAATCCTAATCCTAACCTTGGCCCTAATCTTAACCTTAACCTTAAGATTAACCAAACACCTAATCCTAACCCTAACCTGGCCCTAATTCTAACTTCATATGTTTGACATGTTACTGAGAGTCTGCTGAGTGTTTGTTTCATCTAAAAGGATTCAGAATAAAGTGTGACCTAGTGATGTAATTAGACCAGGTAATAGAAAATTGTGCCTCCTTTTAATCTGAAGATAAGTTCATGGTCAGACTTCTGAAACCCACAATGACTGGCGTAAAGTCTCGTAAAGTCTCCTCCCTCGTCCAGTGTGTGTTTTTATTTTAATTGCACCGTATTTGCCGTTTAGCCGAGCATGTGGTCAGTGTTTGGAAGTGTGGCGCCTGTTGCATAACTCTGAGGTAAACGTCTGTGTCCGGGCTATTTGGGCTAATTTGAGGAAATTACACAGATGCTTTATCCTGTACGAATCGGCCAGTCAAGTCACGCACAGATTACATTACCAGACCTCCTCTGCTAAAGCTAACTCAGCTCCAACAGGGCCAGCCTTAGCTTTGAAACATGACAGGGCAGCAGGTACCAGTGCAGTGAAAGATGCCTTTATCTTACATATGAAAACTCATAAAAGTGATATTGGACAGACAGACGGCACTGCAGCTGATTAACGGACAATGAGAAGCTTCTCAATATTGAACACTCACTCAGATTCTCAGAAAGCTTTGCTTCAGAGAGCTGAAGGAAAGTCAGCCTTATTTAAATCTAAATTTTAGTTATTCGTTTGAAATAAATTCATCATCTGGATGGAAACCTGCCTACTGACACAGACAGCAGTCTTTCTGCTCTACTACTCAGTGAAAAGCTGTACTGACTGTATTGGCTGTACTGACTGTACTGACTGTATTGACTGTATTGGATGTACTGACTGTATTGACTCGACTGTATTTGCTGTACTGACTGTATTGGCTGTACTGACTGTATTGACTGTACTGGCTGTACTGACTGTATTGACTATTGGGTGTACTGACTGTATTGACTATTGATTATTGACTGTATTGGCTGTACTGACTGTATTGACTGTACTGACTGTATTGACTGTACTGACTGTATTGACTATTGACTGTATTAGCTGTACTGACTGTATTGGCTGCACTGGCTGTACTGACTGTATGGCTGTACTGACTGTATTGACTATTGACTATTGGCTGTACTGACTGTACTGGTTGTACTGACTGTATTGACTGTACTGACTGTATTGAATGAAGCACTTGTTGGTAAATAATTCACAGTGTGGCTCTGTTTGATTACATCTTTACTGAGCTCATCCACTGAAGGAGCATTTAGCACAGTCGCTTTATCGTCTGTGATGTTCATCTGGTTCCGTCCGCTAAAGATCACAGCGATGGCTGAAGTGGAAGGCGAATGTTTCTGTCTTAGTTTTTTTCTCACTGCAGTTGTGTTTGATTGAGGGAATCTATGAATAAACATCCTTGAGTCTCTGGAATCAGCACCTCTTGTCCTTTAATTAAACCTAAAACCAAAACCAAAACCAACACACACTTAAAGAACAGACGCATATCAAAGAACCTAAGAGTCACACTTTAAATGAATCCTCCATTCATAATGCATTATAATACTGACATATGACGTATTATAACCTGCACATTTTAGAATAATTATATCTAAATGCATCACTAATGTTACAGAGCACACACACTTTAAAAAAGATGGTTCTTCAAGGGTTCTTTAGTAAAGAAAATGGTTCTATATTGAACCATTAACATTAACATTAAGGAACACTTTGCTTTATTAAAACGTTCTTTGCATGGTAAAATGTTCTTCAGATTGATGGAGAATGTGATGTAGATGGTTCTGTATAGAGCTCTTTTGAAAAGGGTTCTGTGTAGCACCAAAAAGAGATCTTCTACACATTTAAAAAAGATGGTTCCTCAATGGTTCTTTAATGAAAAAAATGGTTCAATATATAACCATGAATGCTCAAAGAATCATTTGCATGATTAAGTGGCTCTTTGCATTGTGAAATGGTTCTTCAGATTGATGGAGAATGTGCTGCATATGGTTCTATATGTAGAACCTTTTTGAAAAGGGTTCCATATACCACCAAAAAGGATTTTTCTATTGTTACTAGCTTCACATCATAACAATAGCAGAACCATTTGTAATGCTATATAGAACCATATGCAACATATTCTCCCTCAATCTGAAGAACCATTTCACCATGCAAAGAACACTCTAATCACGTAAAGGGTTCTTTCAGTGTTCATTCTAAACAGAACCATTTTCTTTACTAAAGGACCCTTGAAGAACCATATGATTTAAGAATTAATATGTAATTCTTTATTATGGCCAGTATAAAGCTGTTATTGCTCCTAAGTAGTCATACTAACACATATGTGTTAATAATGCTTCATAAAGTTTTTATAGTAATTCTAGTATTAAAATCTCTACTAAAAGCACAGTTTAGACTCCAACACTGTAAAACAGACACTAACACTTTATTTGAAGATGAGCTACACAGTGACCTCCTTGCGTTTGTGTAGCGTATTTTAAAAGCAGTGCCTGAGTATCGATGAGCAGCTGATGACAAGACATTAAATAAAGTTAATGACATGACTTTTTACATAAAGGGTCTTAAACTAAAACTACAGACATTTGTTCTGTTTATAACACTGTTATAAAACATCATTCATCGATTCACTGATAACAGCACTATGGAAGATTGTAATCATCATTTCTTATATATTTTTATTATATATGTATGAATATACTCCTGCACAAAAATCCTACACTTGAAAGAGTAAAAGTAAATAAATGCCTTAGTAAAATATGGGTAATTGGGTTTATGCCATTATAATTATTATATATGTTATTTAATGCCTTATTTATCAATTAAGCAGACGTATAACGTGCGTAATGTGTAGTGCTGATGATGAATACAGGATTCATAGGACGTGTTTTCAAAGTAAGGTGCCTGATGTGTGAGTCATATTTTCCCAGAGTAATATTTGAGCTATTTGGCAGAAGTGTCTGCTGATGACCTTGTAATCCTCAGATTAAACTGTCCGACCCAGATCTCACTGCATCAGCATCTGGCTCTGTAAAAACCAGCCGCTTCCCCAGAACATTTCCACGCCAAACAATACGCTACAGCAGTGTTTACCTCAATAGTGCAGGTGAGTAACAGTGGGGCACCTGCAGGTACTTATGGATGCCTTTTCAAAACCTACCGTTTTGAAAGCAAGGTCACCTGGTGGATATGTCTACTTCTTCATCCTCCTGCTCAGCAGGAACCGGACCTCCTGCTGCTCACACACCCCTCAGGTCTTCTGCAGAGACAGACTGTCCTTTAAATACTTGATACATGCACGGTAATACCGACATCGGCGTCCAGAAAAACCCGATTAGAATGAGTGAATGAGCTCCAGAGAGAGATAAACAGTCGGAGGGGTAAAGAGAAACATTCCACTACAGTTACAGTTAAATACTGACATTATAGCACACTGTATACAGCGAACTGTGTGTGTATATGATAAATAATGTGAAAATACAGGAACTGTCCTCTGGATCAGAACCAGAACCCTGCTGAGGGAGAAGATAGAGACGTTAGAACCACCTACAGGCAAATGAAGCCTCTAGAAGACGTGATACATACGCACACACACACACACACACACAAACACACACACACTCCCACACACACACAGACACACACATACTCCCATACACACACACATTTGTTTTATACCTTGTACATGGGAGTGAATATGTAGAATGTATTATAGTAGAATGCTGTGAAAAAGTCACCCTTCATTTGTTTCTAGTCAAAAATATGCTATTCATTTTTCAGCATCAGAAAAAAAAACAGAAAACATATCGCTGGAGAAGGCAAAAATCTTCTTAACTATTAATGTAAGTTCATGTAAAGAGATATTAGAAGTAAGTTCAGAGCATTTCTATTGGTCCATTCATCATGAACTTCCCCCGATGTAAAGATGCACAAATTAAATAGAAACTTCAAAACTGAAAACAATGGAGATTCATGTTTTGTTTTGTTTTGTTTTTTTTTTGGGGGGGGGGCAGTGCTGAACAGAAAATCACCCAGAATCCTCAACAATTAAATCTGATATCAGTGTTCAGTGAGTACCTCTTTACTTTTATTCCAGCTTCCATTCTTTTCAGGAGACTCACTTTCAGTTCCTGAAAGAAATATGCAGACACACCTCCAAAGTTCAGTCTTAGAAGCTGGTTTATTTTATTTTAGATTATAATGGTTTCTACTGAAGATTTAGGCTGCTCAGGGTCCAGATTTGACCCCTATAGAGAATACTTAGTCTCACATTCAACACAAACCTGTATAAGACTGTCTGCACATTTACACACTAAACTACAACATTTAAAGAGATCAAAGAGAAAAGCTCTCCCACTCTGACTTACTGCAGCTGTTCATTTAACTCTTGCTAACTTACTGACTATTACTGTCTATTAATATTTTGTTATTTGGGCTCAGGCCTTTTTTTGGATAGGAGATATATGTACATATATATATATATGCTTCTACCCGTCAAATTAGGTGGTTCTTGGCTGCACTGAGCCCTGAAACCGACTCGACTCTCTGACAACAGAGCCGTGAGACTAAAAGAGGAAAGTCTGAATCAGGGCTGAGCAATTAATTTTATTTTCAGTTAGGTTTTTGGCTTCCAACAATAAAACGGTTATTGTGCCATATTCAGTTTCACAATAATGCTCTCAGTTTTGTCTTGTGCTGTAAATTTTTCTTTTACAGTGGTGTGCATTTGCCCCTCTCTAAAAGCCCAGACTCAACTCATTTATCTTGGTTGATTTTAGTTTTATTTATTATTTTTATACATGTTTAGTAGTTTTCAGTAGGTTGTGGGAGTTCACTACAACATAGTTGATCTTTTTTAATATATTTATATTATTTATTTAAGTTTATACAACAGTTAGTTCCGGCCACACAAGCTGATTGGTTGAGATGTGTTCTAACTGTGCTGTTATTTCACCATAACATCACGGATTTTTCACAAACACTGTATCACTCCGCAGAGAGGCTGTTGCTAAGCAACGATTTTGATACCTGTAGGAGACACTCAAGCCATTTGAAAGTTTTTACTTCTTACTTTGCCACAAACAGAAAATGGACACTTTCTGGACAATCACAAAGATTACATTTGACCGACAGCTGATTTGGTCAGACTCTGAAGATGAGACTACACAAAATTCCCAAACTGTCAGTTGGTCTGTGTGGAGCTGGAGAACGAACTGCCCTCTGTCTCTGAAGTAGCAACAAGCTGCTTGTTAAGGAACTATAATTTGGCGGAAGGAACTGCGAACATTAAAACATATTAAACACCCCATTCACGGCCCAGTTTATTTATTTATTACTTTATATATTTAACTGTTGTATAACAGCAACAGAACACTAGAGGTTGTGTGTTATCGCCAATAACATCACGGCTGTTATGATCTACGGTGACCAAATCACAGCTGTGATGTTATTGGCGATAACACACTCCCTCTCATGTTCTATTGCTTAAGTATATATAATTGTATATTGCATACTATTTATTTCATTTCTTTTTTCACATTTAGTTTTTTCCTTTTTAAAATTAGATTTTAATTCAAGGAAATCCACTGTTAAAAAGACAAATTTTTTTAAATGCATGATGTTTCCAAAGTCATGTTAAATAATCGTGATCTCAGTATTAACAAAAAATGATCATGATTTTTGTCATAATTTAGCCCTAGTCTGAGCCAAGGGGAGCAGGCTAAGTGAGCCTAACTGTCCCCAAGCGTGTTAGAGTGTTAAAGCTCTGCCATCCGAGAGAAGCAATCACAGGGCACGACTGAGCCCACAGCGCTGACACTGAGGAGAGTTTCTCCCAGTGGCTTCCTGTAATCAGTGGTAGCTTGATACATGCGCACTACATGCTCATGGCAAGGTTAAAGCGATGTGGTGGGAGAAGAGGAATCATGATGAAGATGCTGTCAGGCTTCTGTAGCACAGTTTTCCAAATGCACATCTGCCCCAGAAACAGCAGCATCTGAAGCACTGAATCTTCCGCATGACATTGTACCCAAATGTTGAGAAACAACAGCCACTAGAAAACGCCTCATGTTCACTCCCAGTGAACGAGCCGTGGAGCGGCAGAGGGACAAGCAGCAGCAGCAAAAGACTGTCATAAAGACTGATGTAAGGGTCCAGTCTGTGCCACCGGCCACCAGCGCCACAAGTTAAGGGAACTCCAATTCCCAGAAGCCCTCGGGCTGATTAGGCCCAACCTGGCACACCTGTGGACTCCCCTACTCAAGGCAGTAGCAAACAGCAGCCCTTTGTCACACCTTTGTAGAGGGGTGACTGGTACGGTACTTAGCCCAGGTGGGTATTTAGACTAAAAGAAAAGGAAAAAGACAAGAAACAGAAATAAGAAAAAGGAGAAAAAAAGAATAAATTGACTACTTAAA